CATGGGCAAACATTCTTATTGCATATAGGGTATATACAGGAATGGGATTTGTATGTCAAAAGTTATGCTGGTTTCACTTTATAAAATAGTTCTAAATTATTTTCCAAAGCAGTAGTTTCCTTTTTTTTTTTTTTTTTTCCAAGACGGAGTCTTGATCCAGAGTCGTCTTGCCCAGGCTGAAGAGTAGTGGTGTGATCTTGCTCACTGCAACCTCCGCCTCTGGGTTGAAGTGATTCTCCTGCCTCAGCCTCCTGAGTAGCTGGGACTACAGATGCTCACCACCATGCCCGGCTAATTTTTGTATTTTTAGTAGAGAGAGGACTTCTCCCAAGTTGGCCTTCTTTTGATTAGTGTTAGGAATTACTCTATCTGTATCTTGGTATTTAAAGTGGGTTTCTTATAGACAACATACATAAAATACATATCTACAGTGATTGTCGATATAGCTGGATTGATATCTACCATATCTAATCATTTTTTATTCATTACACTTGAGTTTTTTTCATATTTTTTTTTTGTCTTCCACTCTTTTTTTGCCTTCTTTGGTTTTAGCTGAGTATTTTATATAACTTTATTTTCTCTTCTCTCTTAGCATGTCAATTCTATTTCTTAAAAAAATTTTTTTCAGTGGTTGTCCCAAATTTTGCAATATATATTTGCAACTAATCTAAGTCCACTTTCAAATAACACTATACTGCTTCATGGGTAGTGCAAGTATCTTATAATGACGCATTCTCAATTTCTCCCTCCTGTCCTTTATACCACTGCTGTTATACATTTCACTTATCCACATAATCTGATTATCCAATACTGTGTTGCTATTATTTTGATTAAACTGTTATCTGTTACATCAATTTAAAAAATGGGATTTAATTTTATACTCATGTATTCCTTTTCTAACTTAACTCTCTTCCTTTCTTCATGCCAAGTTCCTGATATATAATTTCCTTCTTTCTAAATAACTTATTTAAACATTTCTTGTAAATTAGATCCACTGGTAACAAATTCTCTCGATTTTTGTTTGTCTGAGAATGTATTTCATTTTCATTTTTGAAGGATAGTTTTTACTGGATATAGAATTCTACACTGGCAAATTTTTCTTTCAAAATTTTAAATATTTTATCCATCCTCTTACTGCTTACTGATTTACAAAAAGAAATGACACAATTCTTATCTAATGTCTATTAGATAAGGAGTTTTTGCTTCTTTGGCTTCTTTCAATATTTTTTCTCTTTGTTTCTTAAAATTTTTCTGTAGTTTGAATATGATATACCTAGGCATTTCTTGATATTTATTCTGCTTGGTGTTTTTCTGTGAACTTCTTGAATCTATGGCTTGATGTTTGTTAATAATTTTGGAAAATTCTCTGTCATTATGATTTCAAATATTTCTTTTCCTCTTTCTTTCTGGTATTTCTATTACTTACATGTTACACCTTTTGTAACTGACCCACAGTTCTTGAATATTCTGTTTTTCTCAGTCTTTTTTTTGTTTTGTTTTTGAGATGGAGTCTCACTCTGTCGCCCAAGCCGGAGTGCAGTGGCGCAATCTTGGCTCAGTGCAACCTCTGCCTCCCGAGTTCAAGCAATTCTCCTGCCTCAGCCTCCTGAGTAGCTAGGATTACAGACATGTGCCACCATGCCTGGCTAATTTTTGTATTTTTAGTAGTATTTTAGTAGAGACGAGGTTTCACCATATTGGTTAGGCTGGTCTCAAACCCGTGATCTCGTGCTCCATCCACCTTGGCTTCCCAAAGTGCTGGGATTATAGGCATGAGCCACTGCGCCTGGCCTTCTCTTTTTATTCCTCTTTGCTTTTCAAGTTGGGAAGTTTCTATTGACATATCTTCAAGCTCACTGATTTGTTTCTCAACCAGTTCCGTTATACTGATGAGCCCATCAAATGCATTTTTTTTTTTTTTTTTTTTTTTTTTTTTTTGTGTTTTTTTTTTTTTTTTTTTTTTGAGTCAGGGTCTTGCTCTGTTACCCAGGCTGGGGTGCAGTGGTGCAATCATAGCTCACGGTAGCCTCAAACTCTTGGGCTCAAGTGATCTTCCTGACTCAGCCTCTGAAGTAGCCAGGACTACAGGTGTGTGCTACCATGTCTGGCTAATTTCAAAGGTGTTCTTCATTTCTGTTACACTATTTTTGATTTCAAGCATTTTCTTTTGGTTTGTTCCAAGAATTTCCCTGCCTCTGCTTACATTACCCATTTTTAAATGCTGTGCATTTTTTCCATTAGAGCCCTTGGCATATTAATCATGTTATTTTAAATTCCTGGTCTGATAATTCCAAATATCTGTTATATAAGAATCTGATACTGATGTTTGCTTTGTCTTTTCAGATTGTGCTTTTTCTTTTTAGCATAACTTGTGACTTTTTTGTTGTAAGTGAGGCATGATGTATTGGGTAAAAGTTACTGAGGTAGACTGGCCTTTTATGTTTATCTGGCTAGGAACCAGTTGTGTTTACTGTAGTTGTAGGTGACAGAGGCTAAAATTTCCTCTGGTGCTTTTATTTATTTATTTATTTTTGAGACAGAGTCTCGCCCTGTCGCCCAGGCTGGAGTGCAATGGCTCAATCACAGCTCAATGCAACCTTCGCCTTCTGGGTTCAGGTGATTCTCCCACCTCAGCCTCCGAAGTAGCTGGGATTATAGGCATGCGCCACTATGCCTGGCTAATTTTTTGTATCTTTAGTAGACGGGGTTTCATTATGTTGGACAGGCTGGTCTCGAACTCCTGACCTTGTGATCCAGCTGCCTCAGCTTCCCAAAGCGCTGGGATTACAGGCATGAGCCATCGCACCCCGCCCCCTGGTGCCTTTTTTTTTTTCTCCCCTGTTGTCTTTTCTCTCCTTAAACAAGATCTGAGAGGTAAGTTCTTTCAGTATCTTCAGTACTGCCTTATTATTGTACAAGGGCCTGCTCTATCAATGTGGTGGTGAGGGGGAAAGAAAGGTAGGGATTGGACAGTCCTATGATCAGTTCTCAGTCTTTTAGTCAGACTGTGTGTCTGTGAAGGGCTGTGTTCTTCAAAAGCACTTCTCAGTTTTTTTGTTTTTCCACTCCCTTTGGTGAGACAAGAGGGCCAGAGGGAGCCAGATTTGGGAATTTCCATCGTCCCAGGTTGGCTGGGCTCCAGTAAAATAGTTTTCTTTCTGTGCAGGCCTTTGTTAAGGAAAATGAAATTCTCCGGGAGTATCTAAAAATGGCTAGTTTTCCCTCCCAATGAGTGAGTGGGAAGAGCATTTTTCTTAGATCTTCACTGTGAGAACCTGGTGGAGCTCTTCAAGGTAAAACTCACAAAAGCATATGGGCTTCTCAGTGGCTGGTTCTTCAGTAGTTATCTCTCAAGCTAGTTCACACTCAGATTCTAGCAATTAATTACTCTTTCAATATTCCCACCTGAAGCTGGCTCCATTATTGGGTTCTCAGTGGTTTCTGTTGGCAGTAAGCTGACTCTATGGATCTGCTTGCCTCCAGTTTCCAGGTCAGTGTGACTTCAATTCTCTGATGAATCTAAGGGCAATTCAAGATGACTAAGTGCATTACATGTCAGAGGCTAAACTACTTTTTAAGAGAAATCTTTTTGCATATCTTTGATTACTTATGTTGTAAACTTACTGCATTATGTCGGTAAGTATCTTTAAGGTTTCTGATACACACAAACTTCCCTGCAAAAAAGCTGTAAACAAAACAAAACAAAACAAAACAAAACAAAAACCAAGGCCAGGTGCAGTAGCTCACGCCTACAATCCTAGCACTTTGGGAGGCCAAGGCGTGCAGATCGCCTGAGGTCAGGAGGTTGAGACCAGCCTGGCCAACATGGTAAAATCTCATCTCTACTAAAAATACAAAAATTAGCCAGGCGTGGTGGTGGGTGCCTATAATCCCAGCTACTCAGGAGGCTAAGGCAGGAGAATTGCTTGAACCGGGAGGCAGAGGTTGCAGTGAGTCAAGATTGTGCCACTGCACTCCAGTCTGGGAGACAGAGCAAGGCTCTGTCTCAAAACAAAAAACAACTCCCCCCACCCCAAAAATCTGAACATATTTTAACCACCTTATTTTTCTGCTCACAAATCTTCAATGCTCCCTCAGGATTCAAGATGAAGTCCACGCATCCCTGCCAAATACCATTCATCTGGTGGTTGGAGAGGGTCACTGAAGTCTTCTAGATAATCCAGACCTATCTGTTTTTCAATTTGACTCCTCACTACTGTTCAAAGTAATCCTTTGGTTCCAGTGATTAGTGAATTGATTGTCCCTAGAATACAACATGATCACTCATTTTGGTTTTGTTCAGCATCCTTTGATGTTTAGGATGCTGTCCCATATCCTCTCAGCCTCTTCCAATTCAATCTACTATGCTGACTGCTCACCTTGCTCTCACCCATTTCAGCTGCTGCATATTTATAGAGTATTCCAGTACACTTTGGAAGGTGTGAGAAAGCCAACAAGTTTTCATAGACTCCTTCGTCAATATGGGCAGAGAGATGGGGCCAAATCTACTCTATGCAAAGTGAGGACTAGTTTAGATAACAAAACTAAGAATTTCTGAAATGGGAAATAAATGCAAGTTGGCTGCTTATGAAATAAAATCATGGAATTATAGTTTTTCAACTTCTTGTTCCTCATTTGTTCCAGGATTTCCTACCTATGATGTCATGACTGCATTAAGGAGCTCTCTCCTAACTTCTCAAATCTCGTTTCATTTTTTTTGGCTCAATTCAAAACATGGACAAAGTAATTACTAATGACATATTTAGTGGCATTTAAAACATAAACTATTTTTCCTGTCTCTTTAGAGAAACCTATATACAAAACAACTATTTTTAAGATAAATATAAAAGTTTAAGCAGTGTCATAAGAAAAGTCTAAATAGTAAGCAAATGCATGGTACAAAGATGATCATTAAAATGAAGAAAAGGTGTTATCAATCCTGAAAAACAGGGTTTTCAGCCCTAAAGTTTGATTTTATAAAAGAAAAAGACCCAACTCACGTTCTATTTGCTCAAACATCACTGAGAAGAGGAAGTCTCGTGGTGTCATATAATATTCTCCTTCATGTTCCAGTGAAGAAAACTGCATAAAGCGTTGCTTACGAAGAGACAGTTTCCCTATTATTCCATGTTCAACATTTTTCTAAAAGAAAAATACATTGCAATTTAAGATTTTTTCAGTGTTATTCTCAAACAGTCATTTCTAAGACAATCTTTAAAAAGTAATTTTCATGCTTGGATCTGACAATCCCCAAACTTTTAAAATCATTCATTTAACAAATATTAACTGAGTCCCTACTTTGCACTGATGATACAGCAGTGAATAAGACTTACTTGGGGGATGTGATATTCCAAAGAGGGAAAATGACAAGTAATGAATAAATGTATAAAATATTGTAAAACAGGTCAGGTGCGGTGGCTTATGCCTGTAATCCTAGCACTTTGGGAGGCTAAGGTGGGCAGATCATGAGGTCAAGAGACTGAGACAATCCTGGCTAATGTGGTGAAACCCTGTCTCTACTGAAAATACAAAAATTAGCTGGGCGTGGTGCTGGGCACCTGTAATCCCAGCTACTTGGGAAGCTGAGGCAGAGGATTGCTTGAACCCAGGGGGCAGAGGTTGCACTGACCCAAGATTGAGCCACTGAACTCCAGCCTGGTGACAGACCATNAAAAAAAAAAAAAAAAAAAAAAAAAGTTTTGACTGTTTCAAAAAATAAAAAATAAAATAAATAAAATGGTAAGAAGCACTACAAAGAAATATAAAGCAGGATAAGAAAGGGATAAAGTGGTAATATCTTAAGATAGTCAGAAAGACCATCTTAAGATATTCTTAATATCTTAAGATGGTCTTTCTAAAGAGGTAACATTTAGAGACTAAGTTAGGTGGAGTTAGTGTGTCCTGGGCTCTCTGGAAGAGTGTTCTAAGTAAGCAGAAAATCCATGACTTGGGAACAAGCTTGGTCAAGGAACAGAGGAAAGGCCAATAGTACCAGAGTGACTGAGGAAAAAGAGTGGCAGAAGAGAGACAGGAGGGCAACAGATCATGTAAAGTTGTGCTTTCATAAAGATAAAATATGACATATTAGACAGACAGCTGTTTTCAGAAATGTGAGAGAACAATGGGTAGAAGGAGCTAGAAGAAGGATGGGTAAAATATTGTAGTGGAAGAGTCTGCACCTCAGGCAGCAGGACTTAGACCCTGACTAAGTGCTAATGAAGACAGTATTGAAATCTATTTTTTTTTTTTTTTTTTAAGACAGGGTTTCACCATGTTGGTCATGCTGGTCTTGAACTCCCGTCCTCAGCTGATCCGCCCGCCTTGGCCTCCAAAGTGCTTGGTTTACAGGCGTGAGCCACCGCGCTCGGCCAGTATTGAACTCTTTATAACTAACTTTTCATTGAGCACCTTCTATGTGCTAGGCACTGTACTAATTAAGTACTTCACATAGATTAGTTAATCCTCACAATAACTTTGAACAGTAGATACAGAAGTAGATACAGAAACTGAAGAGTAAATGGCAGAGACAGGCTAAAAAATGAGGTGTGACTTAAAGGGTTTTGATCTCTTAACTACCACACTATCCTCCTAACATGACTGGGCACTGTGAACTAGGGAGACTGGAGGAAGATGACACAGCAGTTACCAGATACTTATGTCAATGCAAGACTCTTGATACAAGAACATATTACCTGTGGAATCCAATAGCAGGCTTTCATCCTGGACTGCTTTCTAACTGCATCCTGGAGTGCTGCTCTAACTTGACTATGGTATCCTTCCTGGACATGTCACCTACATTTCACACTTAATACTGATCCTATAATTCCCTGACACACAGGCAATGTTCAGTGACTGCTGACTTGAATTGAAATGGGAAAAACATGAATTCCAGTTGCTTAAATCTCTCCAAATTCAAAGCTGCCAACCCTCTTTTTTTGGCTGATTTCAGTTCTCTGACCAGAATGAATTCTCTCGCTTAATTAGATAATAGGCTTCCTTGAGCAGCTGGTTTTACAAATCTTTTGTGTTGTCAGTGCCTACCAGAATACTGCACATGTACAGAATATCAATAATATTGCAATGATCTGTACCCTATGCCTTTCCTTTTTTTCCCCTTAAATGACTACTACAAAAGTAACTCAAGGTGAATGTTTTAATCATGTAAGTCCATACCTATGCCAGTAATCAGAAAACTAAACTTTACTGATACTTTCTGAACATTTTATACACGAGGCAAATATACGTACACACATAGTAAAATATAAATATACGTAGCAATAGATATACCATTTTATTTAACAAATTGTTATTAAATATCTGTAGGAAAACAGTAGTAGATAAACTAATTCCCATCAGAAAGTACTAAGCGTTCTGGCAATGAATTTATAAGAAAGTATATGGCTGAGATAGGGATGAGAAGGTGGCTAAGAGTATTCTCAGTAAAGGTCATGGCATTTACCAAGTCCTAGATATAAGAGAGAACACAGCATATATTAGAGAAGTGAAAGAAGCTGAACATGGGCATATACACTGTTTAGATAATTTTTATATCTATAATGCTAATATATAAGATTAACAAAGTTAAACAGTCTATACAGAAAAAAAGTATATTCTCATATTCCTAAGTGAGTGTTGTCTCTTTTAAATTTCCTGATATCTAAGTTGTTCATGGCTGGCAAAAAAAAAAAAAAAATTATATATATATATATATATACACACACATATATATATGTTTTCAACCAACAATTTAATCCTTTTTGTAAAAATAAACAAGCTCTTCTTTCCAAACCTCAACCAACTAAAAAAGGTCAGCTACTCATTTATCTCTGTCTTCTACTGGTTCCATAACAAAACCAGCCATCAACTCTGTGTTTCTTCTGGTTGTCCTTTATCTTGTAGCAAACTTACCCTTTCCTGGTCCTAATTAATACCGAATCTCATCAAGAAGTAAAAACATTAACCTTCCATTTTCTTACAGCAAGATATAAAAACTAATTTCTTTTTTTTTTCCTCCTCATTCTGGTTTTTAATGGTCAAGGTGACAACAGTGTACAGTTTTTCCAGACCCATATGTAGGTTCCACAGTAATCTCCACCTGCTGGAGGATACACCATGACAGAGGCAATTGTCCCAGCAGGCCACTGTCAGTGTGGGAACTTTGCGATCAAAAGCATCAAGCCAAGTCTCTTTCTCAGGATGGGTCTTGGTTGAAACCACAAGCCCTTCTGCAGTTCTAGGTGGATGTAGTGTTGGTTCTTGGCTCATTGCAGGGGTGAAGCAGGAAAGAGAAAGAGACTGGTGAAGATCTGTTGGAAAGGACTGTTGGAAAGAGGATGGAGACACATTACAATTCCAAACCAGGAGCTCCTGAGTCAGCATGGATTCTAAGTCTCTTGTTTGTTTAATGGGGAGATGGTTCCATCCAAGAGCCCAACGGCCCTCCTCTCCCAAACCTGCATAGGAAGCAAACTTACAGGGGTGGTGGAGGGTCTTTATCAGGTCAGGACTACTGCCTAAGTTTCTGCAAGTCACAAGTCAGCAGGTCAAAGAACAACTGTGAAGCAGAACCTGCAGGTTTTGAGTACCAGCTCTCTAGCCCAACAGGCAGAAAATGAAGCCGAAGCCAGCTCTTCCATTTTCATCAATGAATCAGAGTCTATCACAAATATCCAAATTTGGCTTGCAGACGGCAGGAGGCTGGTGCAGAAATTTAACCACAGCCACAGGATCAGTGACATCTGACTCTTCGTCGCGGATGCCCGGCCGGCCATGGCTGCAACCAGCTTTATCCTCATGACTACTTTCCCAAACAAAGAGCTGGCTGACAAGAGCCAGACCCTGAATGAAGCCAACCTGCTCAATGCTGTCATCGTGCAGCGGTTACCATAACCACCCAGCCAGCTGCCTGGCCTCCCTCCTGTGTTTCCCATGGCAGTGGCCAGGATCCATGGGGATCGCCCCTCCTGCCCCCTTGTGCGCACCCAGCAGTCGAGTGCGACGTCTCCTCCATAGGTCTGGGTTCTTAGATCTTGGTTGGACATTTGTTTTCTCCTTAGTTGCATTTTCCTGGGTTTTTTTGACGATCAATGGACTTTAATGAAAAAACAAAAAAACAACCAAAAAAAATTGAAGGAATATCACCAGCATGTTGTACGGAAACTCTCCCACTGAAGCAGGCTTTAATTGCTTTAAAATTATATTTATCTTGGGGCCTGTGGGACAAAACTTCCTTCCATCCTCTGCATAAAAACTTGTGGCACACAGTGCTTATTCACTAGTGTGTCCCACCCGCCAGCCCCAAAGATGACTGGAGGAAGGAGCGGAAACGTTTAGAAAGAGGCTTCGCCGCCACTTGTTCCTACAGGAATGTATCACTTGCCCAGATAAAACTGAGCAGCAGCCAGAGTCCCCTAAAGTGGGAGGTCAGAGCTGCATGCACACAGTGTCTTCAGAAACTGAAAATATATATTTCCCTACGCTCTTTTTACTCAACCCCTGGGAAATCCAATCTTGCCAGGCCTTGGCCAGTCGAGATTCTGTTTCACCTGCCTGCCTGGCCCTTTCCTTCGTCACCATCTGGACTGCTCGCCTCCTGGGAATTCTCATGGGCTCCATCATGGCTTTATTTACTCCACGTGCAGAAGTCTAAGTGGACCTAGGTGGGGTATTTTTTTCAGTAGGATACAGCTCATGCCAACCCAACCCAAGTGAGTTCAGAATCAGGGTATCTTGCCCTAAAAGATAAACAGTCAGAATGCCACCGAGCTGTTCACTAGTGATGTGTGGCAAATCAAATCAACTGTTGAAGAAGGGGTGAGTTTCCTGTGCTACAAGCACCTGTCACTGTTGGTACTTACAGGAGGTTTCTGCTGGTACATCTTGGAAGTGAGTGTAAAAACTATTTTCAAAGAAATTCTGTTTGTTTTTCTTACAGGAGGTTTAGACCGCACAAACTCCTCCATCTTATGGTTACCAGTTTTATATGCTTATATATGCCTATAACTTACACAGGATAACATTTTTGAAGAGGCTTGAGAAGAGTCCGTTATTCAGGGAAGTGCCTTGCTGCGTTGAAAGGTTAACTGTCATTCCTTTCAATTTTGGGTAAATAACCGCTTTAGTGAACAACACAAGGTAGAGGA